TCCCTGAGGTTTCTCCCATGTTCCCCTTTAAACTGTGGGGTTTTTCTCTGGAAGTGTTTCCTTGTACGATGTGAGGGTCTAAGGACAGAGGGTGTCGTATTGTCATACTGATATTCTGTACAAACTGTGAAGTCCACTGAGACAAATGTAACATTTGTGATATTGGGCTATATAAATAAACATTGATTGATTGTCGAGGGGGCCCTTTGCGATACTGACTAATAACAAATTATTACACAATTCTGATCCTAACCGCCACTGTTAAAAGTCTGACATTATAAAGTCAATCAGAATTCATTTTTAGATCATCCTCCCTCATCCTGGTCTTACATAGTCAGATGTCTATTGCTGGTAAAGATAAAAAACACATTAATAGGCAAGATAGATTTGTTTACAAAATGAAAACACATTAAATAAATCATTTATACATGGATGCTAAACAGTCACAGAGTGTTCTTTTCCTGTAAGCAGAGTGTTATTGCAGAGAGCAGCGGGTGCAGAATACTGTATGCTTATTTTATTAAATGAATAACCCTGGGAGATTTCCTCAGGACAAAGGAAGTGTCCTTATAGAAAGTCTAAATAAAGCTCCACCAGGTGAAACAAGGTGCACAGAGTCGCACTGAGGTTTGAAATATGCTACTTTGCTATAAAGATCATTAATCTGCAGGACATGAGAGGAAATGCCATGGGAGCAGAGGTGGAGGAAGTACTCAGATCTTGTGCTTGAGTAAAAGTACAAGTACTCAGATCTTGTACTTGAGTAAAAGTAGAAGTACTCACATCTTGTACTTGAGTAAAAGTAGAAGTACTCACATCTTGTACTTGAGTAAAAGTAGAAGTACTCACATCTTGTACTTGAGTAAAAGTAGAAGTACTCAGATCTTGATCTTGTACTTGAGTAAAAGTAGAAGTACTCAGATCATGTACTTGAGTAAAAGTAGAAGTACTCAGATCATGTACTTGAGTAAAAGTAGAAGTACTCAGATCTTGTACTTGAGTAAAAGTAGAAGTACTCAGATCTTGTACTTGAGTAAAAGTAGAAGTATTCAGATCTTGTACCAGAGTGTAGGAATACTCTGTTTCAGTAAAAGTCATGCATTAAAAATGTTCCTCAAGTGAAAGTAGAAAAGTATTCTCATCAAAATATAGTTAAAGTAGCGACAGTAAAAGTAGTCATTGTGCAGATTGGTCCATTTCAGAATAATATATATGATATGTTTTATAATGATTGATCATGAAAGTGTTCTCAAAGCTGGTAAAGGTGCAGCTAGTTTGAATGACTTTGTATACTGCAGGGTAGCTTGTGAATTTACTCCAGGTGGAACTAAAGTCTGATTTAACACTTGATTATATTTCACATCATTCATCCAGATCTGTAAAGTAACTAAAGGTATTAAATACATGTATTCTATATTCCCTGCAGTTATCCATGTAGTCTGAGACATTGTTTACAGCTTAAAAGGGGGTTAAATAAAATGTGTTGATTTTGTGTTAAAGGGCCCATGTCATGGCCATTTCCACTGATCATAATTACATTGTTGAGGTATACTAAAATAGATTTATACTGTGCAATTTTCCAAACTCACATTGGTTTCGCATACAGCATCTCTGTCAAGCATGTGTATTCAGCAGTATTCACTTTCTCCACTAAACGACTCGTTGGAGCTCTTGCCCCCCCCTCCCTGTGAGCCTAGTGTGCTCCGATTGGTCAGCTCGGCCACTCGTTCTGATTAGTCAACCACCAGAGAGGCTGCGCCCATGTCTAACAGTGCTTTTCCCGGCTGCTCTCAGGGTAACATCAGTCTTATCATGGCGTCGGCACAGCCGTATATTTTATATACATATATATTTTTAACTGTTGTTATAGAAGAGTGTGACGGCCCCAGGGCCTTTGTCTTACGATGGGGTGGAGCTGAAGAGGCTAATCAGCACGATCACGGACACCTCCGGACACTACGGCCCCAGTCTCTCTCCAAAGCGGCTGCAGGAAGACTAACTCTGCGATCCTCTCAACCACCTGTCTCTGCATTTATCACAATAAATGTGCCGTGGTTTTGTAAACTCGTGTATGTCTCCTTGTCTTTGTGGCCTACGAGCCGCTCATAACAAAGAGTAAGTTATTTTTACCCGTTATAAACTACTACTGTTTGATGAGAAATCAAATCATGGTTTGCTATATATGAATTCAGGGAAGAAAGGATAGGCCTACTAAGTATTTCCATTAAACTTTATTTTTAGAAATGTACAAAATGAACATAAATATACATATATACACGGTATATCATCCATTCCTCCTCCTCGCATCTTGCCTGCGCACAGTCGGTGCGGTGCCTTTTAGCACGACGCCTCAGTAGTAGTAGAAGTGCCTTTTAGCACGTCATGGATTGTCCGCCAGGATCTGGCTGGACGAAATCAAATGCAAATCACAAAATATTAGAGAAACTTAGTTGTTTTAGATTCGTTAGTAGTAGTTGTGTAATGAACAGCTTGCCTGCTAATATGCTAACCTAGCTTTGTTTACCTTGGTAGCTAACACGATATGAACGTTAGCTTGGAGGAAAGGCAACTATAATGCAGTGTAATAAAACTACTATGAACAAAAGCTAGTGGTTCATATTAGGCTAGCAATAACGTGTTTATAATTGCAATCGTATACGGGTATTCTGCTACCATACAATGTAACTTGCATGAATACATTGTTTTGCGCTAGCATACAGCTAGCCTCGTTAGCTACATGCAGTATATGTACGGTCACAATGTACGGTAAATCACAGTACAGTATACTGTATGAGTATTCCGTGTGTGTGAATGCAGACATTCTCCTGCTATGAGATACATGTATGCAAGGCCATCTGCTGATATTAGAGTTGATATATGGAAACTCTAGCAACTTAGTTAGCACAGTTAGCACTGTGTCAATGGCTTAGCAGTCCAACACAGTTTACACATTTAAACAGTCTTGTTTGATAAATACACAAATAACAATGCAAACTTACAGGTTGTATACCCAGATCTTCCCCTGCTCCAAACGGTCCAAACAAGCTGTGCATATCCGGCCTCAAACTGGGCAATGTTTTGGAAGCTTTCGTCTGTGAAATGCCGGTTCTTCGAACCTCTGGAGGAGGAACACGCCGCTGCTGGTGTGGCCATAGCTCTTCGGGATTGGTCCATTTCGTTCCGGGTACCGCATGACATCAGGCGGTACCCGGAAGAATCAAATGGGCAGTGACGTATCTCCAACGAGGCGTTTTGGGGAGGTATTTTCTGTGTTAGAGTTTTACTCGCTACAGGGTGTACTTTGAGGGTTTTGACTCTGCACACCGTTTACATGCATAAAAACCTTCATAACACACAAGGGGACGGGTAATAACCGGAAAAGCATGACATGGGAGCTTTAAAACCATACAGACCAGTCCAATTTGACCGGGAGAAACCAAAGTAAGGGGGGAGTAACGAACACCACAGAAGTACAGTACTTGAGTAAATGTACTTAGTTACTTTACACCACTGATGGTATCATTCATCATAAAGCAGCAGGTCTCGTGTCTCCTCGGGAAACCTGTGATCTCTGCAGAATAAAGACAGAGAGTTTCTCCCACGTAGAAAGTGCGCTGTTTATCATCTGAACCGGAATCTCCCCCCCCCCCCCCCTTTGCGATAAGTGCGTGGTTCATTCCAGCGGCTGTGTATCCTCAGTGCGAGGTGTGTTTGTGTTGTCCCTCCGCACACACTCGCACACACACACTCGCACACTCACACTCACACTCACACTCACACGCACACACACACACACACACACACACACACACACACACACACACACACACACCACACACACACACACACACACACACACACACACACACACACACACACGGAGTGGATTTCGATGGAGCGGTTAAGACCGAGAACGCATCATCTCATGGAGGACTGCTTTACGCCGAACTGTCGCTGAGGTAGGGTTCGTGAATCGCTGATTTCTAACAGATTTTGCGTGCATTAAAATCCCAAAATGTTTCTAAGTGCAGAGAGGAAGCCACATGGGACCACGTGAGCTCCGAGGGGAATATGTTTACGGTAAAGTTATTATTAATTAATTCTGCAGGAACTGTGTATTTCAATGAATTATGCACCTCTGAATTAATTCTCTCAATGAGTAAGAGTAGCTTGCTTTAAGTATTTTATATTTATTCAAAAGCATGTTCAACCCATCGAGAGATAAAGTGCTAAAGCTGCTGAATGCACAGGAGGATTACATTAAATTACAAGCCTCACACGCTCCTTTATTATGTTCATATGAGAAGACACATCCACATCCCTCTCCATGCTTCCACCTGCTACATTTCACAGCTTTAAAGCCTCGGGAAAATTGAAAATTGCATATCAAATGAGTTTATAACCGTGCCAGAATGAAGAGCTGTGCACAAAGAGAGTGTCTGCAGGTGAAATCACGAGGTTACTAGTATTTGTACACAAAGACAGGAAAGAATATAGCTGTCAAAGTACTTGTCAAAGTACAAAGTGTACTTCCCACCTGCAGCAGGCAGCCTTCAGTGATTCTGCTTTGTTTTTAGCCGGCTGATCGTATAGAAAGTGCCAAAAAGAAAGCATGCAGAGGAAGCAGAAACTAATCAAAATCGTCTAGTATGAATTGCAAATGACTATTCTTTGAGCAGATTTAATTTGCAGCAATGAGAACTTAATTTAAAATGCAAAAACATTCATCGTAGTTTCCATCAGTGCCATTCTTGCAAAGGAGGATTTATTTACGGACTTGCTAATTCCTTAATTATAATGAAATGTGTGTGGAAATACTTCCCTGCTGCAGCTCGGCAAACAATGTGTTTCTCTGTTATAACCTTATTAATCCTGCTTGTATTATAAAGTGAACGACCTTATCATTGTTAATGAGATGTTAATCACCCTGTGTGCCTGTTTAATTCCTCACAGTTAAGTAAAATACCCACAAGGCTCTGCAGCAGATATGCCAGTGTACCGTCTGACACTCAAGTCTCAGGACAGAGACTGACCTGAGCTGACACTCAGCATCTAAAGAAACGCTCTGAAACGCATCCAGTTGTTATGCTTTGACGTCAGAGAGCATGATTCCTGTCTGTCAGGGTGTCTCTTCACTCCTCTCTCATGCGTCTTTCTCAAAGTGAGTGACAGCCCCTGTTTAAGGGAGGGTACGGGGATGTTTGATTGCCTGTTTCCTACACAACGGTAGTCAAATTTCACGGCTATTAGGCTTGGTAATAGGCGCTGGGAGAAGAGGGAGCAGAGAGTGCTTGGCTGGACCCTTTGATTATAGAGGGCATGGTTTGTGATGCTGAGGGACAGTGTCACATGTCACATAAATACAGCGCTGACAGGGACATAACTCGTATAGTGATTACCTTTCGTAGCTTATCGATGAGATTGATAACGTGCAGATCACTTTGACAGATCACACTGGGTGTACTGTGTGTGTTAACAGTTTTTCAACACAACATCCTTCGAATTTTGAGGAGGTTCTGATTGATTGATTAATGCAGCCAAAAGTCCAGCAAGAATATCATCCTTTTCATTAGATCCTGCTTTTTAAGTCAAACTCAATCATACCCCTTTTTTACTGAAAAAGGGCCACTCACAACAACAACAACAACAACAACAGATTGGCAGATTTTTTGCCAATGTGGTTCATTCACTGTCTGATTATCACACAACCAACGTCCCCTGATGTATATATCCCCAAAAGTGAATGTTTTTTTAGTTTAAAGTTTCTCTGGTATTACATGTGCTGGTAGCATAGCCATCGAAGCTAATCTTACTTGTTGCATAATATTGTGGCATAAACTATTTTCTACTGGCATATTTTACCGGCCTATTTTTCAATATGATCTTACTTATGATAGTTTGACATGGCTATAATAAAAAAACAAGAGAACGTTATACCGCTGAAGCAGTGTGCTTGCAAAACGATGATAATAGCAAATGGGTGGTCATTAAACTAGGGTATAAACCCACAGTATGCCTGGTTAGTGTTGCCTGGATTTATATAAGTGTGTTTTTATATGATTGTGTAGTAACGTTCGAGTCAATTTGCAACACAAAAAACTGGTTTGAAATCAAGCACTGGCTCCGAACTGGCACTGGAAACTATTTTGTGGAAAAGAGTATCAGAGACAATTATTTCAACAAATGATATGCACTCATTATGGACACTTACACTGCACTCAGAGGCCTGGGGAAAAGAAAAGTCACCCAGATCGCTATACATATACATGTATATATATGCCACAAGGACTAGAATTATTACATGGTATTATATTCAAGATTGTGGGTAAACTGGTTCAAGAAACTGTGATTTATCAAAAATCCATGAAGGATTGTTAGAAGCACGAACAGCTAAAGCATGAGTTTTATTTATGTCTAAGTATGAAATTATAATTAATGATTATAATTACCATCTTATGAGGGTGTTAAATCAGGCACGTCTAAATATGCTTTCCAAAACACGAGGCATGAAATCATGATTGCCCCCAGTGATGCTGCTGTAAAATTATTCTTCTGTGAATCAGTTATCATAATGTTAGACAAACACTTCATAAGTTTGTAGTTGATTTAGTATCTCTACTTTAAAGAGTCCTCTCCTGCTGATGTTCAGGTGTATATCAGTATGTAGTGTCTCTACTTTAAAGAGTCCTCTCCTGCTGATGTTCAGGTGTATATCAGTATGTAGTGTCTCTACTTTAAAGAGTCCTCTCCTGCTGATGTTCAGGTGTATATCAGTATGTAGTGTCTCTACTTTAAAGAGTCCTTTCCTGCTGATGTCCAGGTGTATATCAGTATGTAGTGTCTCTACTTTAAAGAGTCCTCTCCTGCTGATGTTCAGGTGTATATCAGTATGTAGTGTCTCTACTTTAAAGAGTCCTCTCCTGCTGATGTTCAGGTGTATATCAGTATGTAGTGTCTCTACTTTAAAGAGTCCTCTCCTGCTGATGTTCAGGTGTATATCAGTATGTAGTGTCTCTACTGGGACATGTCTCCATGCTTTAATGTTCAAAAAGCTCTTTATTTTTCTCATACTGCCTGTGCTGCAGCACCTCTTTTCACCCTCTGTCTGAAACCAGAGCCCAGTCTGCTCTGATTGCTCAACCGCTTAAAGATGTCCCGCCCCTTAGCCTATCACGTACAATGTGTTCATTTTTTACTGTGCAGGTTGTAAATTGTACAGATTGATACCACACTTTACAACATGCAGCTGACAGACTCTAAATGTGTGTTTCTGCTCTGTCGGGCTGTAGTTTAGAACCTGCTGCTGTGAATGTATTGATTAAAGGTCCCATGTCATGGCCATTTCTACTGATCATAATTCCATTGTTGAGGTCTACTAGAATAGATTTATATTGTTCAATGTTCCAAACTCACATTGGTTTCTCATACAGCATCTCTGTATAGTATGTGTATTCACTCTCTGTCCTAAACGGCTTGTTGGAGCTCCTGCCCCCCCCTCCCTGTGAGCCCAGTGTGCTCTGATTGGTCGGGACGTTGCGAGGCTCGCTGCTCAGTGAGCTGGCTTACTGGTGTGGTTTCTGGGTCGGCGATGCAGCGAGAACAAGCGAAACTCATCCTGAGCACACACAAACACTCACAGCCGAAGTAAAAACAATAATGCCGCGTTTCCACTACACAGCCTCGCTCGGCCCCGCTCGGCCTCCTTTGGCCGCGCCCGGCCTCGTTAGGACCAGCTCACTTTGTGGCGCGTTTCCATTACAGTTTAGGAACCGGGTCAGTATCTATAGTAACAGTGTAGGCGGAGCGACGCTGCTTAAAACTGCCGTGACGTCATCTTCAATGCGACACAACAATGGAGATGTGAAAGCGATCGTTTGCTTGTTTTTTGCTGTGTGGTTTATTATCACAAGAAATAGACAAGAGTTGTTTCGAAAGAGGCGACGTATAGCAAGACGAGGTATAGAAGAAGCTGACGCGAGAGTTCGGGCAGTCCTCCTACGCCGCAGAGACTACAGGACGACTCGAATCACTACTAACTACAATGCTACTTGGTAAGCTAACGTTCGCTAACTAGCAATGTGTTTAGGCTCACGCTCCCTATACGACCAAAGTATTTCAAGTATTTAATTAATTGTAGCTACCACTTTTACGTATTAAAATATGTATGCTTTTGTTTGTGTATTTCAGAAGTTACCGACCGAGCTACCGAGTGGTGGAATGTGATTGTTCCATCTTTCACACACTCAGTGGGTGGAGAACTTCAGGATGCCTGAGGAAAACCTACGTGTAATACCTAAATATTCATTGTATTGTATTGAACATAAATACATCTTTTCTTTTTCACATACATGTGTTTGTCAAATTATTTAAACCAAAAAAATGTTATCAGAATTGACTATTTAGTAAATATTTGAATTTCAAGCACCAGTACTGCCCCCATAATAATAATCTAATAAATTAAGCAAATATCAAAGCAAACTATAAACATAAATACAAAAGTGTAAAACACAACAGAACTATATTCATAAATGCAAGTGTAAAAAATTGTTAACATGGATGGAGGCTAAAGTATCCACAGCATAAAATAATATGATTATGATGGTTTGTCTGAAAGACACAGCCTCAAGGTTCAAGGTTTTTTATTTTGTCATACGAACATAGCTAGTGTAGTTATGACAATGAACATCTTAGGTCACAGGCTCCTCCAACAGTGCAACACAATAACCCAGATCAACAGAAATATAGTGCAAGTAAATATTAAGCGCTGTGCACCGCTCTCTTTGTATAGGTGTTTTCTTTTGTTCTCTTCTCTTTGAAATATATAAGCAATGTGTTTGAGTCTAGCACAACGAGGGTATTACAATTGAGTAATTTTTCTACATGTATTTATCATGTATTCTTAATACCATTATGTAATGTTATGTTTTAGAGGAGGACCTCAAGCTAGCAAACTCAATTTCAAACAGTATGCAGAGTTGTCCTGCTAAAGAGTTAAAATGTATTATTTAACCAAGTATTTATTCTCTTATTTGCTTTAATTGCAACAGATGATAAAGGTTTCACTGTGATAAGTATTCTCTTAAATCCATAAACCCCTGTACAGTGCTTTGTGGACGATGGTGTTTATGATATTTCTGACTGCAGAGGGACGCCTAGATGATGCCATCTTTCTGTGCGATCGCTGGTGGGTGCAATTATTTATCAACAAGCAATAAGATAAGACATGGCATTGATTCTGCTGGGCCAGTTGCCGTTCCTGCAGGGCCAGATCGTCTCCTCCTCGGTTTGTGCTGTTGATGCAGAGGACGTTGTTCGGAACTGTTCCTCCTCGCTAGTCCCAATGTAATCATCTAGAACAGAAACATGACTTGTAAATTCCACAAACTACTGCAGCACAATACTATAAATAGCAACAACAACTATAGAAAAGACAAACTGAACGTAAACAATGGCACATATGGTGTTAGCAAACAATAGCTCTCGCTAATGCTATCTGCCTAGCTAGCCTTCGGGGCTCCATCGGGGTTGTCGAACATAAATGTAAGGATAAAATAGACTTATTTGTTAGAAGTGAGCTTTAAAACAGATAGGGACACAAAGCAGGGACACAAAGCTTTCAAGCAAATAACACAGCGTTAGCAAAAACGTACCATGCAGACTCCAGTAACGCCGTTGGAGAGTCCAGTGTCTGTGTAGAGACCTCCTGAAAGACTTTGATATTGCGAGTTGTCCCGTCGAGCACCCGCTGGACCTTATCATCTGCAATATAATGGACGTCGTCACTTCCTCGACCGACCATGGTGTGCTTTTCTTTGCCATTGTTGTAGCTCCTCCGTTAACAAAAATGCTGTTTGTAAAAATGGATTATCTCGCGCGCAGATTGTGACGATTCTCTCCGACCAATCAGCAGCCGAGAGCGTTGACGTCACAAACACAGCCCGGTTGTCTTTGGCCCTGGCCCCACGATTTTATGAGGCCAGAAAAACTGAGAATTAGGACCAGCCGGCCGGTACTAGGCCAAGTGGAAACGCAACCACAAACGGGCCGCTGACGTCACAGCCCTCTTAAACCGGGCTGCGCGCTGTAGTGGAAACGCGCCATAAGTGTGGCTTGATATTGAGTAAGAAAAAGGTTTATAAACGCTGTGAGAATGGGTCTGCGGAGAGCATTTCTCCACCATCCCAACTCGTCTATTACCAACCAGGGAGCTCTATGCAAGTCAATGGGGACTCCCTGTTAGTTGAAAATGTACGCTAAAGGTCCTGGTGTGTGAGGAGCTCCGCGGATTGGTCCATTTTGGTTCTGGGAACCGCATGACGTCATGTGGTTCCCGGAAGAAACAAATGGAAAAAGAGAAATGTCCAACGAGGCGTTCTGGGGCAGCATAGACAGGTCTTTTCTGTGTTAGAGTTTTACTCGCTACAGGGTGTACTTTGAGGGTTTGTGACTCTGCAGACCGTTTACATGCAGAACAACCTTCATAACACAAGGGGACGGGTAATAACCAGAAAAGCATGACATGGGCCCTTTAAGCTGGCATGACAAATCTTCCCTCTTGTGAATCTGAAACGCAGACAACCCTGTGTCTCTCCTATTTAAAATGAAAATAGATGCAGCTTCTTAAGACCCACAAGTCCACGATGTTGCACCGAGGAATCTCTGGATTCGAGAGTGAGATGTTTCCCGTATGACTGCACAACAAAGACTCCACTTAAAACCGTTCACTTTGCAACACAGGTCTGACTTTGATGCAAATCAAAGGACGGCAGTGGGTTGATGAAACTGAATATTTATGGTATTTTCCAGAGTACTTTGGAGCCTTTTTAGCGGCAGATGAAATTGCACTTGAAAGTTGTAGGTGGGTTGCTTGATGGCTGTTCGAAAACTCAAGAGCTTTTTACTATTGTGAGAAAATCACTTAAGTGCTCATCTTGTGAAATACACAGTGCATTTACACAGAAGTTAAAACTATTAGCAGTGCTGCATATTTAACCTTCAGCATATATCATTTAATCTAATCACTGATGCAAAAGAGAACATTGCACCCTTTGTTAACTTCACTAATCACTACATATCACTCGCGCTCCTATTGGCTAGCGCTCCAACACATTGTACGTGATAGGCTAAGTGGGCGGGACATCTCTAAACGGGTTGATCAATCACAACAGAGCCGGCCAGCTAACCAATCAGAGCAGACTGGGCTCTGGTTTCAGACAGAGGGTGAAAAGAGGTGCTTTTTGAACATTAAACAGACCTCAGTCTTTGGTAGTTATAAATTAAATTAGTTAGTGATTGGATACCTTAATTTATTATTGACAAAAGTATAAACATACCATTTTGAGACTATTCCATTGTTGCCTATAATTCATCTGTGTTTAAGAGTATATATTACAAAATTGGTAAAACGTATTGATGACATTTTTCTTTATTGTATGCTTTGCCTCTCTGTGAACTTCTAATCCAAATTTGCTGACATTTTGATCGTTATTTCTAGAGATACATGCGATAAAGGCCGTCTCAGTCCCCTTAAGAGAGGCCTACATTGTCACCATTTCTGGTTATCAATGAAAAAAATAATACATTTGCAGTAAAATATTCTTATACAACCATCCTCTTCAGAAATAAACATGTTAAAGTAATACAAATACAGGGGATTGTGCTTTGTCTCAACCTTAGTTCCCCCTAAAAAATTCACAATAAACCAAAACATTTCACAATAAATCACTCTATTTCCCCCATTCACAATATCTCTTATGAAAAGGCAATATTCAATATAGGCTCTACATACCTTCCTTCCTCAGTTCCTACATGTCACAAAATACAAATCTGAAAATTCACCTAATATATCCTCTTTAAAACACTTTCTCCCGCCTCTCTCTCCAGGATGCATCACCTCTCTGCTGCAGAAACTGTCTCTGAGTCCTCTGAGCAGCTACCATGGCGTACCCGAACACCAGCTCACTGACAGCCAACTCCAGTGGATCTCTGGGGGGTCACGACTACGGGGGAAACATCTACCGGCCTTTCTCTGTTTTCAGCGTGCTCACTCTCACGTTACTGGCCATGCTGGTGGTGGCCACGTTTGTGTGGAACCTGCTGGTGCTGGTGACCATCCTGAGGGTGAGGACTTTCCACCGCGTGCCGCACAACCTCGTAGCATCCATGGCTATCTCCGACGTCATGGTGGCCGCCTTAGTGATGCCGCTCAGCCTCGTCCATGAGCTCAACGGCCGGATGTGGAAACTGGGACGAGTTCTGTGTCAGGTTTGGATCTCCTTCGATGTTCTCTGCTGCACGGCCAGCATCTGGAACGTGACGGCCATCGCGCTGGACCGCTACTGGTCCATCACCCGGCACCTGGAGTACACTCTGAAGACGCGTAAAAAGATCTCCAACGTGATGATCGCGCTCACCTGGCTGCTGTCGTCCATCATCTCCCTGTCGCCTCTGTTCGGCTGGGGGGAGACCTACACGGAGGGGATGAAGTGCCAGGTGAGCCAGGAGCCGTCCTACACCATCTTCTCCACCTTCGGAGCCTTTTACCTGCCGCTCTGCGTGGTGCTGTTTGTTTACTGGAAGATCTACAAGGCCGCCAAGTTTCGCATCGGCACCCGCAAGACCAACACCATAACTCCCATGGCTGAGGTGATTATACTCATGACATGCCCAAAAATGACATCAATTATTATTGTGTGTTCACACCGGACATAAAACGATTTTTTCGGTTATGAACAAGTTTAATTTTATTGGTTGAAAGCAAATCAGTGCTGAATATCTCTGACTGTCATTGTTTAATTATAAGGCTGTGGGCAAAGGCACACAGATGTCATAGTTCGTAATATTTGTTCAGAAATGGCTGTTTTTAAAAGTATGTGTACAAACCACAGACAGTATGATATATTTATCCAAACTCCACCCAGAACACACGCATTTTAAACCTTTCTTGCAGACAGACTTGCCAAAGCATTCATTCCTCGTTCTTAATAATCAGTATGTAGTTATTTCGGCATCATTTTGATACGTGCATTACCATCAAATCACAGGCATATCTTCGCTGTGCATCCGGTGTGAATGCACCATTATAAATCATAATATCATTATCCTCCCCCTTGTCTAGGTATTAGGTAATACATGTAGATATCACTGCTCGAAATCAATCAGAGAGCTAGAACAAACTGTACGTGAGAAAGTTGGTAGAAAGCTCTTTGTCTGCACTGCAGTTTGAGTTGAGACTTTTTGCGCTGCAGCTTCAAAAACAATGTAAATATTTGAAGTCATGACTTTGAAGACCTTACAACCTTATATCTGAAACTGCCGTGCAGATGGTTTGACACGGATAGGGTGTAGCAGAGTAGATAAACCAGCGAGAACAACAGCAGTGAGTGTGCAGGAGGTGACACAGCTGAGATCAGCGAAGAGAGCGAGGAGACAGCCAGCCGGAGAAAGAATCGATGCAGGAGACATGGCCCACCAGGGGGGCTGGAAGTGTTGCCCAAGCGAAGAGGAGAAGCACAATGCTCCTGGCAAGTGCCCAGCATGAGATAGTGGGAGTGGAAAATGTGGGGGGAAAAAAGGCCATCGGGGGAGAAACTGTTTCTCTGAGTCAGTGAAAGAAGTCCTTACGAATAAAAAAAGCTCTGACCTGGGAGCAGTAAGTAAGCGATGTGGAGCATGGGACAGAATAAGAGCCCTGAAACCTTATTACACTAGGCTGCAGCATTGTAGTTTCAGCCAGGAAACATGGGTGCAAATACAGAGAAGACACCAAGTTCATGCAGAAAAGTGTGCAGAAAACAGGGCTTTAAATATCGGCTCATTTTGAACGCACCATCCACTTCTGCCCGGAAAACAAGAGAGCCACTACAATATACAGTACAGAGGCAATCACTGCATTCAGATGATTACTCAAGACTTTTCACAGACATAGTACATGCCTTACGCATCCCTCACACCCCTCACTAACATACACTTAGCATTCATGTGACACAGAGCGTCCCTGATGACTCCGAAAGAACTGCTCATGGCGAAGATGAGAACCATACATTCGACGTGGTTCGACGAAGCCCTCATCAGACGCAGAGATGTAAACACGTAGAAAGGACCAGCATTCATTATCCAGGAGGGATGGGAATGCAAAGAATATAAAACAGAGACCCAGGAGGAGGTGAAACACCAAGTGTGCATGAAGTGAGGGTAATTGACTGAGCAGAAACACACCTTGAGGACTAACGGGAACTAAGACTGTCCATACAGACCGGCAGTATAGATTTGCACTTAAAGTATTAGCCCACACACCAGTACAGCTTACAGAGAACACATACTGGGAGGAAGAGATGTCAAGGTATTGGATAATACTATCAGACAGCTGGAATAAACACTGTGAAAAGCGAGTTGTTTGGTAGGACTGATTATGTTAAGATTTGTTGGCCATGCAGAACATTTCTCCTTCTCCTCTGGCTGATGCCCCTGACCCACAAATATGAGTTACCGTGCAATTATTTATCATGATGAGCTATTCAGCAGCAATCAGGGAAACATAAGCATGGGACGCATGAGCATACGGGCGAAATAATTGCAGCAATCCTGCTCATCACCGCCAGCTTGTTAATGTGCGTCGGCAGAAGGTAGAGGGCTATAAATATCACCTCCAGCTTCTTCTTCTTTAATGGGCCGCTGCACCTTTCTGGCTTTGGCGTTTCTCCAATCAGTCGACACGAAATTTCCCCCGTGAACATCGAATCAGCGCCCACTTTTCACCTGCCATTATGGGGGGGGGAAATGCAATCTGGATATCCCCAAATACACCTTAGGAATGGAGATTACACCATTCTTAAAGCAAACACCTTTTTCTTTCCCTTATTAAAGACTTCAACATCACCCAGAGTCGAAGAAATGGACAAACATAGACAGAAGATGGAAATATTTAATAGAAAATACACATTTCTGTAATGCATGTACTTTGAAACCCCCCCAAGATATTCGTTATTTATGCGAGTGCAACATCAATTTGCCTGAAATGTTTCAAACTAATCAGCCCAGTCTCAAAATGCTTTAGTTAACCAACTCTGTGTCAAGTTTCATTAAACAGGCAATCACTCCCGTAGCTGGCAATTAAATGGAATACATTTTATTAGTTATTTTTTGCTTTCCACAGACAAACACGCAACTTATGGGTTGCATTATACGTGTCTCATTACCCAGCCGAATGTTGTTCTCATCATTTCCCAGCGAACATCGAGGAGTCAAAGCTCCAAGAGATGTGAGAGATAATAACCCTAATGCACCGCTCCATCAACAACACCCACTGAAAGACATTAAGACGTAGAGACATCAGAAACACATTGTGCATCAGGCGGTGCTCACACAACTTAACCCCATACCTCTCAGGAAAACATTACAAGTATAGTTTCAAAAAGAAGTTGTACGCTAACTGGCAACGTTAGCACCAGTTGTGTTTGTGAAAACTTAGCTTTAACTTAAAAAACATTTCCATTACTGTAGCAGAAACACGCTGCAGCTTCAGAAAGGACGCAGATATAAAAACACAAAGGTTCCACATGAAGAAACATCTTCAGCAACTTGACAACACATGCAGCGTTTAGAGAACATTCAGCAACTTGAGGAGACATGCGCAGCGTTTACTAAAAGCTGCAGAAACCAAACGCTGCAAGAAGCTCAAAACACAACGGAGCCCAGGGGACACTAAAGAGTGACGCACACAGCTGGGAGACCAGGGGACACTAAAGAGTGACGCACACAGCTGGGAGACCAGGGGACACTAAAGAGTGACGCACACAGCTGGGGGACCAGGGGACACTAAAGAGTGACGCACACAGCTGGGAGACCAGGGGACACTAAAGAGTGACGCACACAGCTGGGAGACCAGGGGACACTAAAGAATGACGCACACAGCTGGGAGACCAGGGGACACTAAAGAGTGACGCACACAGCTGGGAGACCAGGGGACACTAAAGAGTGACGC